TTTTTTTTTTTTTTTACATCCTAAAATATCTTTAATAGAATGAGTGTATCTGCTCTTCAGTATTAGACATACAGCTTACATATTTTGTGCAATTCTACCAGTACACAGTAAAGTTTATAGTGCATGATTTCTCATTTACTAAACTATTTTAATTCTTCAGGTTCAGGCGTCAGCACGAACAGTTGAGGACTGTTATTGTGAGAGTGTTGCGGCCGACCATCTCTCAACGCCCACCTCAGCCTGTCAGTACACCAAATGAAGATAAAGTAGAACAAAAGGGAGAATCTACTGTTCTTGATTCTGCTGATGTCAATGCTATAGAGGTAAATAATCTAATTAATGCTATGGAGGTTAATAATCTAATTAATGCTATAGAGGTTAATAATCTAATTAATGCTATAGAGGTTAATAATCTAATTAATGCTATAGAGGTTAATAATCTAATTAATGCTATAGAGGTAAATAATCTAATTAATGCTATAGAGGTAAATAATCTGATTAATGCTATAGAGGTTAATAATATGCTATGGAGGTTAATAATCTGATTAATGCTATGGAGGTTAATAATCTGATTAATGCTATGGAGGTTAATAATCTGATTAATGCTATAGAGGTAAATAATCTGATTAATGCTATAGAGGTAAATAATCTAATTAATGCTATAGAGGTTAATAATATGATTAATGCTATAGAGGTTAATAATATGATTGATGCTATAGAGGTTAATAATCTAATTAATGCTATAGAGGTTAATAATCTGATTGATGCTATGGAGGTTAATGATCGGATTGATGCTATGGAGGTTAATGATCTGATTGATGCTATGGAGGTTAATGATCGGATTGATGCTATGGAGGTTAATGATCGGATTGATGCTATGGAGGTTAATGATCGGATTGATGCTATGGAGGTTAATGATCGGATTGATGCTATGGAGGTTAATGATCCGATTGATGCTATGGAGGTTAATGATCTACTGATTTTAGTTATCTGAAGTAATTCGGTAATAAAGATATTTAAATAACACAGTTCTACTCCTGGATTCAGGTATATGATTTTTCACTTTTATTGTTCAGTCTGTTACTTTGTTATTTTTATTGTTCTAACCTCCTCAAATATACAGCTGAAGCACTTGTATCATCTCTATGAATTTCTTCATTTTGCAAGTGAAACTTTTGTTATCAGTAGTAACTGTCAATATGTGTTAACTACTACTTTTATTATGTATGCAAATTATCCACAGGTTGAAACTGAATCCTTTGTTGTTTTTGCAAGTTGTATCTGGAGCTTATGTTATGTACGAATTGCGCACATGTTGTCTCAAGTTTTTCATACACATGAATGGCCTACACGCTATAATTTAAAATCCTTGTGTGTAGGAAATGTGTTATGTTTTTTTAGCCCAAGTGTTTATGCTTGCAAAGTAGACTCACTTGTAAAAAAAGTAACAGAATTATATATATAATGTTTAACTTACTCATAAGTTATTTTTTTTAAAGAATTTGTTATTCATAAGCTTGTGGAAAGATACAAGCTGCAGAGTTACTTGTTTTTAATTTTTGTACAGTTTACTGTAAAGTGAATTTCATCTTGATGACTTTGTTTATATGCAGGAAGTAAACTTGGCATATGAAAATGTGAAAGAAGTGGATGGGTTGGACATATCTAAAGAAGGTACAGAAGCTTGGGAAGCTGCAATCAAAAGGTAATGACGTCATGATGCTGTAATTTGTTAAAGTGGATTATTATTGTTTTTTTACCAAAAAACATTAAACAAGATTGGACTTTTAGATAATGAAAGTATAGATGGTTGTAAGTTTTTCAGTGTTGTAGTAATATCCAAACTGTCATTTCAATTGGTGTAAACTTAGTATGGCATATATATTTTCTTGAAACAAATTATGAATTTTATGGATATATTGAGTTCTTGCATAGTGAGGAAAAGCATTAGTTAATTTTTATAAACTTGTCAGGTATGAAGAGCGTATTGACCGTGTTGAGACTAGAATCACAGCCCGTCTTCGTGACCAACTCGGAACTGCAAAGAATGCTAATGAAATGTTCAGAATATTCTCTCGTTTCAATGCTTTATTTGTTCGTCCTCATATCCGGGGGGCCATCAGAGAATATCAGACACAGTTAATCCAGAGAGTAAAAGATGACATTGAAGCACTCCATGAGAAGTTTAAGGTTCAGTACCCACAGAGCAAGGCTTGTCGTATGAGTAAAGTTAGAGACCTTCCTCCTGTAGCTGGCTCTATTGTGTGGGCCAAACAGGTATGTTTATAATGTTGAGGAACCCACTTGAAGTAAATCTGTAGTAAAAACGAATGATATAGATGTTAAAAACTTTCATTTAAAAACACAAAACAAATAACATTTAGAGTTGCTTAGGTCATCACTTTGATCATGTTTTAACTTAGCTTGAAGAAATGTGACGATGAAATATTATTGTATCCTGTTTTTCCTTGCATCTAGTATTTGAAAGGTGATTTTTACAATGGTGACTTTATACTGTAGGAGTATTGGGGATGTTTTTGTTAATGTCTACACATTAGTTTGAAGTTTTGTGGGAAAAACAGAAACAGTAGAAATGTTATATTTCAGACATTAATAGTTTGTTCACATTTACATTCACAGTTATTAACAGTTTTTGGTAGAATTTAACTTGTCAAGACAGGTTTCTGGGTGAAGCTAGAGTAGCAGCTCATCAACCACAGAAGTGTATCTTACTTAAGAACTACAATATGGCAAACGATACGCTATTTTAAATCTTGATACTGTCATTGAGAAAATATAGGAAATATGTTGATGAACTACAGGAACTTTATAAACCCCATATTTAAACATAAAAGTGAAATTTTTTTCTCAAAGTAGTTTAATTGTTTATGAACAAATGAAAACCAGTTTACTATGGTTTCAAGCTCAGTTTGTACAAGTGTCTAAAGACAATATTAGTGTACAATAAGAATACATGTTTTACTAACAGGTGTTTGCATATAAATGGTAAACTTGCTACTTTCTTTTGCTGTGCTATTGACAGCAAGATGTGAATAAAATGAAGTTGGCTGGACATATGGTATATGGTCTGTTTTTAGAATCTAATATCTCAACTCGTGCTCTTTAAAACACATTTTCTTATCTGGCTTATACAGGTAAATACTAATTAACACATTTTTTGAAGGATCAGTGATTGTAAGAGACAATGTCTTCACTTTAACTTGATAGGTATACGTTTATGAGGAAAATGAGTTGAAATAAATAACATCGTACCAAATTTTATTTAGTAAGATTTAGCAATTTTTATTTGAAGCTGCGTTGTTAAAGAGCCTTTTGGATTAAGATGTTCATTTTTAACTCTATTACATCTTTCAATAAGTTGAGTATTCTGTTTAGTTTCTGTGTGTGTGTGTGTGTGTGTATGGTTTAAATACTAAAATAATACTGTAGCTAGTTTAGTTAAAATTTTGATTTTATAGTTTGACAACAGAAACTAAATTTAGTCATTTCATAACTATTGCTTCACTTATTATTTGGCCTGGCATGGCCAGGTGGTTAAGGCACTCGACTCGTAATCTGAGGGTCGAGGGTTTGAATCCCTGTCTCACCAAACATGCTCACCCTTTCAGCCATGGGGGCATTATAATGTGACATTCAATCCCACTATTCGTTGGTAAAAGTGTAGTCCAAGAATTGGCGGTTGGTGGTGATGACTAGCTGCCTTCCCTCTAGTCTTTCACTGCTAAATTAGGGACGGCTAGCGCAGATAGCCCTCGTGTAGCTTTGCATGACATTCAAAACAAATCAAACCATTTACTATTTAAAAGGTGCTAGTTAAAACTGTAATATTGCATACCCATATGAATATGATAATTTATTTTTAATAACATTATTACTGTGCATAACTTATTCAGTGCCCGTGGGCTAAATGAAGCTTATTTATTGTTTGTTTGGAAGTCAAATGTAAACAAGGATATTTTGATAAGTTTGTGGCAGTGATTGTATACTCTTATAAGAGCGGCACACATATCGAATACTTACTGTCTTGCAGAATACTTCAACAAAACAAAATATAAGGTGCAAAAATTATTGTTATCAAATTTCTGTTAACTTTTTTCTTTCTTGACTAAAAAAATTATTTGAAATTTCAACATTGCATATTTTTTTAACTGAAATTAAAATAACCCAAAAGTGGTGTAAAAACATTCAAGCTAACTAAGCAAATGGCCATTAGTCTTAAAAAAATGTCATACCTGACTATAAATAATTTTATTATTTCTTTATATTTGATTTATAAGTGAAGTATAAAAGTGTTGTTATGTAACTTTCTCGTGTCTGCTACGAGTTCATATCAAGGATTCATTTTCGATATCGCAACTCAGCTAGACTGGACTTGTGGCAGCCAAGTGTCATCTTCTTCTGTGAATTGATATTTATGTACAGTGTAAGAAACTTACTGCTGTGGTGCAAAAACCAACACATGCTTGCATAACAGAAGTTCAGATATAGGCCTAACAGATCATTCTTGATGTGTTTTTTTTAATTCCTGTAATAGTTATTTGCTTATCATACATAATACAAAGCATCTTCAACTACTCTGTTTTTACTTGTTTTGAACCTCAAACTTGAAATATTATATTTAGATCGATCGACAGTTGTCAGTATATATGAAGAGAGTGGAGGATGTGCTTGGTAAAGGCTGGGAAAACCACGTGGAAGGACAAAAATTGAAGGCTGATGCGGATAGCTTTCGATCAAAGCTCAACACACAGGGAATCTTCGATGAGTGGTCAAGAATGGTAAGGACCAAACTGATTTCTTACTAACGTCTATTATACAGGTAAATGAGAGTTTGCTGTTAACAGTTCATATCTACAAGGTTTAAAATTATAAGACTGTTACTATGAAACGAAAGGAAATACATTCATCCTAATCTATAACATGCTGCTGTTATTTTTAATATTTCAAAAAGTAAAGTGTGTGTATATATCAATTTGATTTCAGCTCTGCTATATTAAAAATTAATTGAAGAAATATAACTGCTAATATTATTATTATTATCATAAAATTTGCTTGAAAGCCAAGGAAAGTAAGCATTTTTTTTTAATAAATGAATATATTTGGATTATGTAGCAAAGTACTTTTAGACATTTATGTATTAAAAATTAAACTTAGACTTATGTTGTTTAATATATTCATTCCTGAGACTTGTTCCCCAGTGGCAAAGTGGTATGTCTGCAGATTTATAATGCTAGAAACTAGGTTTCGATACCCATGGTGAGTACAGCATAGAAAAAACCCGTTGTGTAGCTTTGTGCTTAATTACTAAAACAGAACCTTTAGATCCAAACAAAGAGTTTTGTTTTCAATAAATATTTTGTGGTTTTTCTGTTTTTTTGTGTGTTAGATATCGTATATGTATATGTTCCTATTAGAGCAAAAATCTAAAAAAAACATTTTTATAATCTTCAGGTGCAACAAAGACAATTAGGAGTTTCTGGACGAATTTTTGCAATTGATAGTACCCGGGCTCGAAGTGGTAAAGGAAACATTCTCAAGTTGCGTGTGAATTTTCTGCCAGAAATAATCACTCTTTCTAAGGAAGTGCGTAATTTACGGTGGATGGGATTCCGTGTGTCTTTAGCAATCGTTAATAAGGCCCATCAAGCCAATCAACTCTACCCTTTTGCCATTTCTCTAATAGAAAGTGTAAGGAGTTATGAAAGAACCTGTGAAAAGGTAATACTTCAAATGATGGGTTTTAACTATCGAAAACTTGCATTTTTCTCACTAACAGTATTCAGGAAAATGAGTAGGTACATAGACTGCTTTTCATACTTTATTAAGAAACTCACTTTTTCATAATTATGTATGTTTGTCTTAGAAAGTGTCAAAATGATGTAAACCTATACGAGTTGTTTTAACATTCGCTAGCAAAAACGTTGACACAAAATATTGTTTGATGATACATTTGTCTTTAATGAGTAAAACCTGATTTTTGTTTAAAGTAGCTAAAACATTGAAAAAGTGAGTGCAAAAAAAAATCCTTATCTCGATTTGCGTGAGATTTACTAGCAAGAGATATGTATACATTCAAATACTCATTAGAATAAAATATTAGTAGGTCTAATGGACATTGCATAATTTTTCATGTAGACGAGTATGTGAAAAACAGTGTAATATGGCCATAGTGATATTATATTTAATTTTAAATGCAATGTAACAAAAATAGAATTTTTGGCTATTAATTTCCTCACGAAACAGTTTTTAGTTATGCTATCTTCCCACTTTACAATTCCAGAACATTGAGAGTATATATATTAATCTTTTAATCTCTAAGACCAGTTGTCTTTATTGGTTTAATATTATTTATTTACACACTTGTCAAGTAAATCACTATAGTTGCAAGCAGCTATGCTCAAGATTAACTATCTTTATTAGTAAGACTTTTGATGCAAAATATTATATGGCTTTTAACAGTTCAACGGAGATGATACATTGCAGGTTAATTGGCAAAAACAATTATACAGAATTAAGGAAAACTTACAGAGCATTATAGAAATAAGAAATAATGTATATTTATGAGATGTACTTTTTCTAATTTTTTGAAGAGTGTCAATAATTTGATGTTTTGCAAATTGATGCATATGAGTCATAAAAGCTAGGTGTAGATTATATATATATATAGAAAGAGCATTTTTATTCCAAGCTTGCAAGGAGTAGAGCAGATTGTGTAGCAAAGGTAATTTACGTTTTAGTCCTAAAACTGATTTGTTTTAAAGCTTTGCTTTACATTAGCTGTGCTTTTCATATTCCAACCTATTACCACCTTTGCACTATAAAAAGCTGAGACTTACTTTATCATACGAAGCTCCTGAAACTATCTTATTTACTGTTTTATTTGAAGCATTTTATAATGTGCATTTAGATTATGGAAGTTTCATAACATTATGTTAACAGAAAGTTTCAAAATTTAATTTTTGGGGTGTGGGTGCTTTTATAGCATGAAGTAAATGTTTTACCTGTATAAAAGCAAATTTTTTTTTCAGCAAATTATATAATAAGTTTCATAATTAAACTTTTACTTGGAATCAAGATTTCACAACATTTTATTACTAAAAAAACAACTTAATTTAAAATTGTTGATTTTTTTCTTCAGTAACAACACTGTTTCAGTCTATTAGAAAACTTATGTAAAGTGTGAAAGGACATAGAATGACTATAGGTAATAAATGTAATATAATAGAAGGAAAAAATGTATTTCTTTTATCACAAATAAATATATATCTTAAATTTTTAGTGAGATTTTAGCTAAGAGAATGTGATTTAAAGTAATACATTCAATAAAATGTTTTAACATAAAAATTAATGTGTATAAAGCCTGTGTCTGAAAAAAACAACTACAAAAAACAGGACCATATTTTATTTTTGTGACTGACAATGTTGTTTAAACATTCGAGGATTAAAGAGATATTATTTCTTAAGGTGGAAGACAGACCATCTATCATACTTCTTGTTGCTGGTCTGAAGAAAGAAGTACAGCATTTAATTGCTGAGGTAAGGCAGATTTAGTTTTGTATATTGCTCTAATTACACATTTGTAAATCAAGGTATTTTGTAGACTTTATAATCTCATATGGGTGGGAAGAAAGCTGTTTAATAATTAAGCAAACTATTTAATTGATCAGTTTAACCTAAAAGCTGTATTAATATCTAGAAAATATTGTAGTCTTTTGGATAAAGATAGAAATTTATGTACCAGCTCATTAATTTATTGATAATTAGATGGTTTATTTGTAAGAAATATGAAAGTTATTAGAAATACTTGAACTTTGATTAAAACCACATTTTAACACACAAGTCTTAAAAACCAAATGCAAAACAGTTTGGTGTATATTGTACAGCATTTAGAATAATATAATTTTTGATACAATACAAAGATTTGTTTTTGTTTTACTCAAAATTCATTTCGGGGGAAAAAAAAATTAAATCTGCTTGTTATATGCAAGAAAATTTAGTTATCATAATTATTTCTCAGTCTTTTAACCTTATTCTAATCTAGCAAGCTAGAATTTATTATTTTGAAATGGAACCGTATAAAATTTTCTCATTATTTACATCAAAGTTTGTTATCTGTACTAAATCATTGTCCTTAACTCACCAGGTATATTCTTTTAATATTTTTTCCAGGAAAGTGTCTTAAATGTTAAGAATCATATACAGAATGGGAGCTGTGCCACTTTTCTACATGTTTTGTTTAGATTCAAACCACTATGTTGCTATTCAATCCAATGCTGGTTATTGTTAGGCATGCTCAAATTGTGAATCTGAGGATTCATGATTTGCAGCCCATTGATATATTAACTTGTTCATTTTATTTTGGTGGTGGGGGGGAGGAGATTAACTAACTCTTAGTTTAAAATATATGCGGAACCCCAAGGCTCTTGTCATCTCTTCATTTATGGTAGGAATATACCCCATGTTCTTATTTTTAAAAATATTTTTCTGTTCTTTCCTATAATTCTATCATGGTAGAAATGTATCCCAAAGGGTGCTTTGAATATTCTTTTTCTATTCTTCATCAACTCTATTACAGTAAGAATGTATCTCACAGGGTGTTTCTTCTTCTTCTTTTTTTTTATTACTATTATTATTATTATAAGTGTGTAATGTAGCCAGAGGGCCTGTGACATCTGGGGGCCTGATCTGGTCTTACCTTATGAAAAAAAGGGCCCCGATCATTTCTTTGCTCCAGGGCTCCTGAACTGCTTGTTCTGCCACTGAATTTATCACAGTAGACAGGAAAGTTATATGCATGATACACAACAAATGTTAATATGACTTATGCTTTGTGGGCTACTAGGAAGTACATAGATGTATCTCTGTACTTTGTGGGTTGGTCCATAAATTTGACAAATGGGGCTACAAGGAAGTGCATAGATGTATCTCTTAAAAGAATATACTATTTTATTCTTCTGGTATAAAGATTGAGTTAAGCATATTGATTTGATATAGAAAACAACATTTTCCTAATCTTTCAAAATGGTATCTTTGTTTCATGGATTTTCATGCAAAAAGTTATTTGACAATGTTTACATTAGTTTAATTTAAAGGTTATCATGTTGAAGAGAAGATGATAATTAGAAAAAAGTGAGATTAGTTAGAGAAAGAACTAGGAATTATGTTCATTATTTGGAGTAAATTTCAAAACTTTATAGGACTACTAAAAAGCCATAGGTTCATAATTCTCAATGCAATAGTTTATTTTTGTATATGAATAAGAGGCTATAATTATGAGCAGTTAACTTGTTTGAAGTAAATCATAAGCTGTAATGTCGAAACTGTGAGAATTAATTAATCCTTTTGACACAGGTATGCTCTTCTGAGCATGTCACAAGGCTTTACAGAATTATATTCAAAATTATTTGTAATAACATGAAAATCACCTTGCATTCATACTAGTCAAAGTGTGAGTGAAAATGCTAAAATGAATTCAGAAACAAGTCTTTAGTAGAAATAATTAGAAAAATCTTATTCTTTGTGTACAAAATACCTGAAATCTTTAATAAAATCTTACCAATTTTTGTAAAGATACCTTAAAAACTCTCAGTTATAGTATGTGTAGTTTCACATATACATAGGCTCGTGTTGAAAGGGTTAATTGATTAAAAAAGATGTATGCATGCTATGCAACAAACTTTAATATAAATTATGCTTTATATGATTACTCTACAGATTTGATGAATAGGCCTACTAGTAAGTACATATATCTATCTGTTTAATGACTATTAAAACCAAGTTTGACTAATTTACTGTTATATTTAAGAGTGTCATGTCTGTTAAATAGAGGGTAAAAATTAATAGACAAGAAGGCACCATAAGGCTTCTAATTTTCAAACTTTTTCTTGTGTAGTATGCCCCCAGACATTTCTAGCATGCTAAATAACTTCAGCTCCCTGCAATGGAGTCAAATTATTTCAGAATATTTTTTTTTCCTTTGCCCAACTGTAAAGTTTATCATAAAAGGGTGACTGTAAAATATATTTGTTCATGCTTTCGTTTTGTTGCAAGAATTTTGTAGTTTAATATCAATTAACAAAAAATCAAAGAAGAGAGAGAAAAAAATGATCAATTATGTCATTAGTTTAATATCAATTAACAAAAAATCAAAGAAGAGAGAGAAAAAAATGATCAATTATGTCATTAGTTTAATATGAATTAACAAAAAAATCAAAGAAGAGAGAGAAAAAAATGATCAATTATGTCATTAGTTTAATATCAATTAACAAAAAATCAAAGAAGGGGGAGAAAAAAATGATCAATTATGT